ACATTTTCATTTGCACTCATTTGTTTAAAGAGTGATGATTGTCTAACGGGACGGCTGAGGAAAGCGATGTGGAATTGCACTTGAGGTTCTGGTTTCTCAGGACAGAAAGAGATTTACGAGGAAGTCTTGGGGGATGGGGCGGCAGCGGTGTGCGGCTGACACTCTCTCTCTTTCTCCTCAGTCTCCATAAGCTACAGGATGTGTGCACTTTACAATGATGTGTTTAGAGGACACTGGGAAAATCCCAACAAACTTGACGAAAGAGTGCCAACTCTTACACAACATAGGGCTCTTGAAAACAAAACAGGTTACACTCAGACACGCCTCATGTTCTAATAATACACTCTTAACCACTAGAGCTGGGCAATAAATATATATTTGATACTTACAATATTCCCAAGGATGTTTTAGTGGTATTTAATCAAGAAACTTTGTGAATGTTGTGAATAATAATTTGTACATATTTTACAATATTATTTTTGTATTTGTGTGTAGTATAGTCCATACACTAATCCATGCCCCTTGAGACTGAAGGTGTACAGAGGGCACACAGAGGCCCATGTTTTTTGTGACATGTCCAGGTCACAACATTTTTTTGAAATATTTAAAAGTTTTGATTTTTTAAAATTATGATTATTATTTTAACAAATAAGCACATTCCCCTAAAAATTTTTTTATGGATATTTTACTTTCAGGTTTTTCACAATGGGGCTTCTGATTGATGTCATTCCGATTTTTTATTGTATTAAAATATTGTATTTTTAAATTAGCATACATGTTTTTTTTAATTAGCATACATGGATGTTAGTTGTATTTAATTTTTACTGTTTTATGGAAATTTTACTTTTTTTTTGTAATTCCATTTATTTCCAATTTAAATTCTCGTTACTGTCATTTCGAACTTTTATATTGTATTAAAAATCTATATGGTAATACAATTAATATTATTATTTGTTAAATCAGCATACATAAACATCATTAATGTTTTACTTTTTATTTTTACTGTTTTTATGGACATTACTTTTGAGCTTTTTGTAATTCCATTTAATCTGAATGGGGATTCTAATTCATTCCGAACTTTAAAGAATGTCAGTACAATAAAACAAGTTTATTACATATTAATCTGTATTTTATTACATTACATAAAAGAAAGACTGATAATGAAAATTCAGGGAGAAAAAGTGCTGAGTATAAATAAAAGTATAATTCCATTTTTCTTTCTTTCTTTTGATTTTCCAGTGAAATGTAACCCTGGTTTTTATCATGAGATTTGACCTGTTACGCAGAGATCACTGTGTGTCATCAGTGACGTAGCAAGTTCGATGCAATTTGCCCAACTGGAGTTCTCTCAGGCACTGGACAGCATGGTGGATGTGAAAATCTGCTGAAGGATTTGAGGGATCTGCTTGGTGTCCATGGCAACAAAAGATCGTCCGGTCGGCAGAGTCCTCTGGAGCCTGGATGTCGGAGAGAGAGAAAAGAGCCCCCACATCAAACATTAGCAATGCAAATGAGCTTTTCCTCCCCAGTTCCTATTCCTCCATAGGAGGGACAATGGCTGTCATTCACAGTGGGGCTTTGATAAGATACGGGGCCTTGGGAAAAGCCTGTTGGTTAAGAGGGGCTGAAAGCAAAGTGCCACTCCTCCCTCTTCACTAATCATTCATTACTGTCATTTAGTCCCTTTAAAAAGAAGGCACATGTTCAGAGAGGACTGCTCTTTAAATCACGGAGGCCATGAAAAGACAGTCTATATGGGACATGTCTGACCACCACGGTGGCGCCTTCCGCATGCCTTCAAGCTCTCCTTATGTGCCCTCTGTGAGTCAAGACCCACAAAATCCACCACATAACATGAACAATGCACCAAAAAGAGCTGTACATGAGCCTATAGACTTTCGTCTTTTATTGGAGAAAGGACTTACAAATCACACAGGCCACAGCAAAGTGATGACAGAAAGGGAATGCTAATTACATTTCAAACTCATTATGCTTTATAGTGCCGCCCTAAACATTTAAGACTGCAATTAGCACTGAAATGGACCTTGTTTTTTTGAGTGAACTTTAGAAACCAACTTTCACTGCATGACAGTTCTGCTGAAATGCCACTGGCCGATTCTGATCCAGGCTTAACCTTTAACCAAGCACGCTAACATTTAACACGCAACCTGCTGCGGGTCATTAACCTGTCTGCCTGGTCTCCTAGGGAACCGATGAAGATGGCGAAGGCATTGACCTGCGGGTTACCTGATCTTGCTAACAATGGATGCTCAACTCACACAAGCACTTTGAACTTATTTTTTGCACTAATTTGTTGACCTTCTTTGGGTCAAAATGGCCAGAACACAACATGAAGGTTTAAAAGAATACAAATCATCACCTCTCACAATTCTGGAGAGAAATCGCGACACAAGGATGAAAATTTCTAGAGCACATGTGTCGACCGCCTGTCTCTCAAAATGCTAAATGTTATCAAAAAGGAGTATACATTGAAGGATTATGTATTTGGCTTATACGCTAGTTTCGTTATTGTCAAAACTGAAGTATACTTTGGGCTTTACTCTACTATTGCACTCTTTCATTAGTTGTTTCCATCCAAAGTTGTGAATTTAACTTGTGTGAGAAATTATCACATTACATAAAACATCTGTGAATAAACCTCCGTTTCCATCCAGCGAGTTCAAGAGAACAAAATCTTTACTATCTGGTAAACTGGCAGCAAATATCAGTAAGAAAAAAGAAAGTTGCTGCAATCGGAGAAGCCACTGCAACTTTTTTTTTAACATAGTTACTTGTGCCTCAAGAGCACGCAGACGAAACGCAATAAACTCAAATTTACTATGAGTTACTGTCATTCAGAGGCGGATTCATAACGTTTGGGAACAGATTCGTGTAAAACAGTTCTGGGATGTAATTATATACCAAATCATTTTGGCGACAGATTTTGGCCCAGGCTTTTCAGAATGACTAAACCAACATTTCAGATGCTGTGCAATGAGATTGGTCAGCTGATTAGTACAGTTATGCTATATGTTATGATCTGTTAAAGCAGTCACATGACTATTTGATGTGCAAAGAATATATTCTGTAAATGTGTTTCCATGCGTCGTGGAACAGCTCATGCCCAGTTTTTTTGCAAATTGATCATGATGTGTGGCTTTTTATCGTGGACTACTTTCAGTTTTAATACAAGGTCTACAATCTTGTGTGCTCGTGGCTTTAAGGCGAGTCAGTTCACTTGGCCGTCATCTTGGCAGAGCCAAGTGTAAAAATCTGAGTTTGCCAATGGTTTCAATGATGTTTTTGCAGTGATGGCTGAAACCAGGGACTGAAATATTACTAGCAGAACTTTGCTTTGGGAAGAAATGAGATTGTTTCCGTTTTGAAGGCCCCAATCTGGCTGCAGTCGTGCGTCAGTGAATCCCAGAGACCATCCCTGCAGTCTCATGTCTGAGAATTTATGCTTGACTTTCTTCCTGATGTGGTCACATAAGACAATAGGAGGAATTCTAGGAGAAACGCTGGCTACTACGTCAGCACAAGTGAATTCATAAGAGCAGAGATTTAAAAACAAAACTGGGAAATGAGGTCACCCCTGCATTACAGAAGCATTACTGTACCTTCAAAACCTTCAGCCTCTCCTTGTTGTTCTTGGGCACTTTGTCACATCTGACCAGTTCTATGTCAAACCCGTCTCCAGAGTTCCCCATAATATCATACTAAAGAGGAAAAAAACAGGAAGAAGGAGAAGGGTTAGTTCACGCTGCAAAGAACATAAGCAGACAAACAACAATATGCCCCATGCAGGAAATACACACTCTTCAGGAAACGATTATTATTAGTGTACCTTAGGGTATTTTTGTCATTGTGGTTATCTGAGATGTGTCAATGATGCAAAAAATTATACACAAAACACAGACGTTTTAGAAAATTTGTGTAGATACGTTTTTCCATAGATAATAAAGATTAGCATTTACTTCCAAGTCACAAAACTCTTGTGATGTGATGCTGATGTAAATGAGTTATAATTACATAACACAATGTGGATGGCAGATTCAGAGAGTTGATGTTATGAGTTACACTCATGACTGAATAGTCAATCAAAATGGGAAGTTTCATAATAATCTTTTGTCCAGCTCAACAGTGAGCGAGTGTCTTTGCCAACGATGCAGCAGTTGATGGCACTGACAATCTGAAAAACATCAAATTCCATTACGTCAATATGTCTTCAGCAAACGTTTGGCTGGCCGTATCAAGGGGACAGTAGTCTCAGCCTCAAGAAACCTGCCCACTGATGTATACTGTACAGCAAGGTTGCAGAAGCTGATTGAAATTCCTAGATCAGATATGACTGGTTAACTTTCCACAGTATCTGGGAATCAGAGTGGACTGGTTTTAAACTGTCTACTGTATTTGGAAGGTTCTCGGCCAGAAAAAGCATCAGTGTGGACCAGACTCTATGTTGATTGTCAAAGGTTTGGCTACTAAACTAAGGGAACACAGAGTAATGTATAACCTGCAGTGCTGAGCGGGTCAAAGGACAAAAGAGAAGAATGCACCTGCCTTTAGATCACAGGTGGATGAGTTATCAGATGCACTTTTATGTAATGCAGATTATGTAAGTGTCACAGAGAAACAGATATATGACAGGCCAGCTGGATGAGCCGTTTGACAGCTAACGTGGGGCCATAAAGTCTGGCGGCCCACACACACACACACACACACATGAACATACTTACCATCTCACATATCACTGTCATGTCGTCCATCTTTGTCACCATCTATTACACTCTACATTAACTGAGTTCTGACTAGGGCTGGGCAATATACAGTAGCTAAAATATATACACTACTGTTCAAAATTTGGGGTCAGCAAGCGTTTATTTACTAAAAATATATATTGTAAAATGTATCACGGTATCCACCAAAATGTTAAGCAGCACAACTGTTTTCAACCCTGATAATAATAAATGTTTGTTGATACAGCCAATTCTAAAGAACTGATTCACAGAAATGAACTGAACTTACCAGCTCTTTGCTATTGAGATCTAAATCAGAGACACTATCACAACCTCTCTGTCTTAATGCTATTTTATTCCAACTGCACTACTTGCATTTGTTTTCAGTAAACCTAATGGAAAATAAGTGTCTTAAAAATCATCACTACTGGCTCGTTTATCATGGTCAAAAATGTATATTATATATTTAAGCAATATTGATATGCGAGCAATGCGCTGCCCTGTGATTGAGATGTTTCAGTGCTGTTGGTAGTCAAATTACTGCACCGGATCCAGCTGTTTTATAAATATTACACATGATCTATTTTTATATCATCCCGCCTCAGATCTGACCCCACACATTGAAAGTGTTGATGGGCATTAGAGCAGAGCCGGATAACGTGAGCCACTGACAGCCGCAGCTGCCCGGGATGGAGATAACAGATCATCTTTTGTGCAGGCACTACAAATCGGCGAGCAGCTCCCAACAAGAGCCGTGATTCACTGCCTCCAGAGCATCTGCCAGCAGCTCAGACGGACAGAGACGGAGAGATGCAGGCAGGAAAAAGAGGAACATCACGTGAAAGAGAGAGACTGAGAGAGCTACTTACCAATAATCAACCTAAACCACCACGACTGTCTCCATGGCAGCCGATACCTTACATCATCCTTATTGCCATGGCGATCTCCATAACAGTGTCAGCATGTGTGGTGGGGACATCCCTATTACTCATCAGATCGGCCCAAGACTTTCACTGTTTAAGGACGTCAACAGAAGAGCTGTTTCCATGGTGCGTTGCCTGGAGAAGGTTTATTGTAAACAGATTTCACTATTTTTATTGCGTTTGTGGTGAGAAGATTGCGATAGATCAAAGTCTTGTGACTATATTTAAACTCTGTGGGCAACTTAAGACGAGATGGCCATCAAAATTAGATTCCCTGAGCACTGGCGTGAATTTATTTCAAATGAAAGCTCTGTCCCAAAATCTTGTGACACACTGCTGTCTAAACAGTCTGGTCTTCTAAGGTAGCATCTTCATTCAAATGGAACCATAAATGACAAAGCTGGTAAACTAATTTTAGGTTAAACTGGTCCACCAACCTGGCCACCAACATATCAGTAAACCAGACCAGATATTTATTTATTTTTTTGGCAGGGATGTTGCAAAGCTAATAGCAACTCCAAAAAGCACAAAATAAATCACATGCATTAATACTGAATAAAATACAGATTTTTTTTATAAATTATTTTTTTGCATTTCTTAATTTTTTAGCAATGCATTAATTGGATCAAAAGTGACAGTAAAGACATTTATAAAGTTACAAGATTTCTATTTCAAAGAAATGCTGTTCTTTTGAACTATTAATCAAAGAATCATGAATAAAATCTATCACGGTTTGTTCAAAAATATTACACAGCACAAATGTTTTCAACATTAATAATAATAAGAAATGTTTCTTGGGGGCAATAAAATCAGTATATTATTATGATTTCTGAAGGATCATGTGACACTGACGACTGGAGTAATGATGCTGAAAATTCAACTTTGAAATTGAGTCAAATAGAAAAGTTATTGTAAATCATAATATTTCTGTTTTTATTGTATCAATTAAATGCAACCTTGGTGAGTATTAAACCTTTCTTTCAAAAACATCACAAAATCATACTGACCCCAAACTTTTGAACAGCAGTGTACATGTATAACCACTTTGCGATCACTTTGTCCACCATCTTGGATGGATTTTTTCTCTTAAGTCAGAAAAATGCTGATTACTGTTTGTCAAATCTCACCTTAAACTTGTGCTCATAGTTCTCAAGGGCCTCCATCACCATACACACGACCTCCATGGAGCGCTCCAGACGGCCATCCATGCCATTAAAGCGATACATGCTGCCAGAAACATCCGCTAGCAGACATAAACGCTTCGACTTCTGCTGAGGAGACCCCTACTGCAGCCAGACCGGAGGAAAATACATAAGTCATCCACACTTCAAGACTCGAATGACCAGACAAATATATAATTAGGAAAATCGTTTAATACAGTTAGCCTCCATGGAGCGCTCCAGACGGCCATCCATGCCATTAAAGCGATACATGCTGCCAGAAACATCCGCTAGCAGACATAAACGCTTCGACTAGCCAGACCGGAGGAAAATACATAAGTCATCCACACTTCAAGACTCGAATGACCAGACAAATATATAATTAGGAAAATCGTTTAATACAGTTACTATGTGGTTGCTTTAATTGCAGCATTTTGTTTGCCCAGACTCCTCTTCTGAAAGGCTTTATGGGCAGTGAGGTTTTTAATGGATTATAAAGGAGCCACATAATATACTGAAGGTTATTACAATCAATTCAGAAAGCAGATTTTAAATGAGGGCTTATGGGAAACTCTAAATATTATGTGATCTTCTTGCTGTGACAGTCTGCTAAACTGCCATTCATGATTACCAGTAGAAGAAACAATATATATATATTAATAAATAAACAAATTACAATTTTTGGGGGAAAAATGATTATTCTAAAATAACAATGCAGGAATGAATCATTCACAATGAGATTAGTAACAACAATAACATAGATGAAAAATAATTAAAAGAAATGGCGAATTTTCATGTTGTGCCAACTTTACGGTGTATGTGAGAAACAGACCAAAACCGAAGTGGTTATTTGCTGAAAATGAGAGAATTTGTGTTCATGTGTGTTTGTATTGTTCTATGTGATGAATATAGAGTGATAATGAGCCCTCACCTCTGGCTCTAGCTCTCCTCTGCGTTTTTAAAATCCTTTCTCTCCTGTCAGGCCGTCAATGATCTTAGCATCGTCCAGCTCACCCAGAGCCTGATTCCTCAGCCACTGCCTGTCCTTCCCTTTAGCCTGAAACACAAACACCATTTACATCTTCTACTACTACTACAAAAAAGCTCATTCAAATAGTGTTCTTGCTATATATCAAAAAATGTTTAGTGAGGTTCAACACTAGCTCTACATATGAAATAAAAAATAATTAACAACAAATAATACAAGTTCTGTAATAAAATAATTAGTAAAACAGTGAAGTATAAAAAGACTTTACAATAAGGTCCCATTAGTAATGCATTAACTAACACTAGTACTTATTAACCTATGTACAAATTAGTTAATAAAAATACAGCTATTTAATTTATTTAATAAATAAAATTTTTGATTTTTATTAATATATTAGTAAATGTTGAAACTAAGACTACTAGAAGCTTTAGACAGAAGTATTTTTCATTAACTAATGTAGGTAACCAGTGTTGACAAATGGAGCGTTATTGTAAAGTGTTACTGCAGAATGCAAGTAATATACAAAATAATTGAATTTTTCAAACTCAGTTGTGAGCTAGCATGCAAATCTCAGTCATGTCCTTGACCTCCTCGGCTTCAAACATGGATCCAAATATCAACAAACACCCATGGAAGCACTTCCACATGTGACTCTCATTATATGAGCGAGTACACTCTTAAAAATAAAGGTGCTTCACGATGCCATAGAAGAACCTTTTTGTCTAAATGGTTCCATAAAGAACCTTTAACATCTGAAGAACCTTTCTGTTTCACTTTGGGGCGAAAGAAGGTTCTTCAGATTATAAAAAGGTAAGAAAGAGATGGTTCTTTAAAGAACCTTTGACTGAATGGTTCTTTGTGGAACCAAAAATGGTTCTTCTATAGTATCGCTTGAAGAACCTGTTGAAGCACCTTTATTTTTAAGAGTGTATGTCAGATCTCCATGAAGAACAATGAACCAACACGTCACTACTCATCACTCACTCACACACACACACACACACACGGAATGAATCATTCACAATGAGATTAGTAACAACAATAACATAGATGAAAAATAATTAAAAGAAATGGCGAATTTTCATGTTGTGCCAACTTTACGGTGTATGTGAGAAACAGACCAAAACCGAAGTGGTTATTTGCTGAAAATGAGAGAATTTGTGTTCATGTGTGTTTGTATTGTTCTATGTGATGAATATAGAGTGATAATGAGCCCTCACCTCTGGCTCTAGCTCTCCTCGGCGTTTTTAAAATCCTTTCTCTCCTGTCAGGCCGTCAATGATCTTAGCATCGTCCAGCTCACCCAGAGCCTGATTCCTCAGCCACTGCCTCTCCTTCCCTTTAGCCTGAAACACAAACACCATTTACATCTTCTACTACTACTACAAAAAAGCTCATTCAAATAGTGTTCTTGCTATATATCAAAAAATGTTTAGTGAGGTTCAACACTAGCTCTACATATGAAATAAAAAATAATTAACAACAAATAATACAAGTTCTGTAATAAAATAATTAGTAAAACAGTGAAGTATAAAAAGACTTTACAATAAGGTCCCATTAGTAATGCATTAACTAACACTAGTACTTATTAACCTATGTACAAATTAGTTAATAAAAATACAGCTATTTAATTTATTTAATAAATAAAATTTTTGATTTTTATTAATATATTAGTAAATGTTGAAACTAAGACTACTAGAAGCTTTAGACAGAAGTATTTTTCATTAACTAATGTAGGTAACCAGTGTTGACAAATGGAGCGTTATTGTAAAGTGTTACTGCAGAATGCAAGTAATATACAAAATAATTGAATTTTTCAAACTCAGTTGTGAGCTAGCATGCAAATCTCAGTCATGTCCTTGACCTCCTCGGCTTCAAACATGGATCCAAATATCAACAAACACCCATGGAAGCACTTCCACATGTGACTCTCATTATATGAGCGAGTACACTCTTAAAAATAAAGGTGCTTCACGATGCCATAGAAGAACCTTTTTGTCTAAATGGTTCCATAAAGAACCTTTAACATCTGAAGAACCTTTCTGTTTCACTTTGGGGCGAAAGAAGGTTCTTCAGATTATAAAAAGGTAAGAAAGAGATGGTTCTTTAAAGAACCTTTGACTGAATGGTTCTTTGTGGAACCAAAAATGGTTCTTCTATAGTATCGCTTGAAGAACCTGTTGAAGCACCTTTATTTTTAAGAGTGTATGTCAGATCTCCATGAAGAACAATGAACCAACACGTCACTACTCATCACTCACTCACACACACACACACACACACACACAAGCACGTACAAAAACAGGCATGCAAGCACACACAGATTCAGACACATTCACAGACATACACACACCATACACCCATTATTATTATCCAGGTAATAAGGAAAGCACCACATATGCTCTTGCAAAAGTTTCAGTCAGAAGTGTGAAGTAATAAAGAGTCATGGGCTGAAGAAACAGCACAGAGGCTGACGGCACTCCAGGAACTGACTGAATGGATGAGATCATCTTCTTTATTCTGTGTCACATCTCAAGTCTGTGTGAGAAGGAACTCTAATGCTCCATTTCCACACAAATGCTGAATGATGACAGAACTGACTGTGTTACAACATAACCTGCCCACAAACAAACACAGCAAGGCTTTTATGTATGTATACACATATTCCCAAACTTTTTTGTCAGCCCAACCCTTTTGACCTAAAATATTCACTTGAGATTTTAAGTTAATATATAATAATTCAACAACAACAACATTAACCAGCATCAGGTAAATAAATAAACTAGTAAGTGTTTTATATTGATTGATTTTTTTTTTCAGTTTCATATTTTTATGATTTAATTCATTTATAACATTTCTTAACCTCAATTCACTAACCTCCTGCAGTTTCCTGAGAACCTCCAGGGGTTCGCAAACCCCAGTTTGACATGAATATGTTCATGTTATATTCAAATCATATTGTCATATTAAAATGATCTGAAACTATTTTGTCAAAATAAATAAAAATAAAACTTAAATCTGAAATCAATCTGTTTCAATCTAAATGTAAAAATAGTGGAAATGAGCATGCGCAATTAGCTTCTCAAAATCTGCAAATATGGTAGTGATATTATGCATCCCTTCTTGTAATCTCAACTAAAACAATTTAATTTTTTTTGGTTATATTTTGAAAAGTTTTGAAAAATACCCGATAAGTATATGCAATATCGTGATGTTCGCCTTTGTAAACACCATTAGTAGAAGTCCTCAAACTAATATAACAGCATGTGGTCTCAGAGTATTAATGAGTGCATATACCTGTTGCGTATGGACCAATCAGACACACAATTTTTTTTTGTTATATTTAACAAATACTCTGTAACACACCAACAAACCAACTATGAGGGTCTATGGACCCTTCCCCTGAAATGCATCTAACACCTCAGAAAGGCAGAACAGGCCTCTGGTTCCATGGCAACCAATGCTGATATCACTGGTTTTATTGCCCAAAGGAATGCGGGCAGAAAAACTCACAATTCATTTACCCTTTGGAAAGACACACAATGCCCATAAAAATTGACTCTTCTCTAATTAATTCATAGAAAAACCTTTCTGTGAATAAACACATCTCCTCAGGACATTGTGTATACCATTACTGTTCTTGTATATTGTCTTTTGAATTGTATACTGTTTTGTGTGTCTGTTATGATAGATCACTAGTTAATATAACCCCACCAATACCATGTTTGGTCTCTTTGAATTCGTCTTCTGATTATCTAAACGAGAGTGTATATTTTATGTTGGTACATACACTCTTAAAAATAAAGGTGCTTCAAAAGGTTCTTCAAGCGATGCCATAGAAGAACCATTTTTGGTTCCACAAAGAACCATTCAGTCAAAGGTTCTTTAAAGAACCATCTCTTTCTTGCGTTTTTGTAATCTGAAGAACCTTATGTTGCCACAAAGAACCTTTTGGGAAACAGAAAGGTTCTTCAGATGTTAAAGGTTCTTTATGGAACCATTTAGACAAAAAGGTTCTTCTATGGCATCGTGAAGCACCTTTATTTTTAAGAGTGTAGGCAATATATTAGTGTTCTAAGAATCTTTAGTAATTTTGCATCAACACCCAATCTAGTTCCATATGCAAATTACCATGCTCTCACACAAAGGGTCATAAAACTCCCCAATATTTCCAACCTCCCGCTTGGAATTTCAGCCTTTCTCATTGGACAAGCCCATCCTGAGAGGCGTGAATCTTCTCAGACCTTAAAAGGCTCACGCACAGTTCTGCCTATGTTGTTCTTCTTTTGCGAAGTCTTCTGCTAAAACCTTCTGATTGTGGCCCGTGTGGAGAGCCTGAGCCGGTGCGGGCGTGCCCGGTGGGCTCCAACACATAGCCAGTCAGTCTGCGGTTCTGTTAAATGCTGAGAAGATGAGGATGTGTGCTCGAACTCTCCTGGAACCCTTAAGTGTGCCAGGCTTCGGCCTTGTCTTTCCATTCAACAAAGATCCTCGGCTCTCAGCTGATGTCTCTCTTAGCTCTTTTTCACTTTCTATTGGGAAGAAACTCCCAATCACCATCGAGTCAGAACATCTTTGGAGTTCATCACTCTTCAAACCCGGAATAAGGTGATCTCCTACACCACCGAACCTCCAAACCATCAAGACTTTCATCCGAGACTGCATCCGTACACTCGTTCCAGGCCAAGGCAATGCAAGTATCGTACATTTAACTAAACGAAACAGAGGTTTAATATAAGCTGTAGACCCCGTTCTAAAACGGCGCTGATGGTTTCACTCAGGTGGTTAACTGACTGACCTCCTCGGCTTCAAACATGGATCCAAATATCAACAAACACCCATGGAAGCACTTCCACATGTGACTCTCATTATATGAGCGAGTACACTCTTAAAAATAAAGGTGCTTCACGATGCCATAGAAGAACCTTTTTGTCTAAATGGTTCCATAAAGAACCTTTAACATCTGAAGAACCTTTCTGTTTCACTTTGGGGCGAAAGAAGGTTCTTCAGATTATAAAAAGGTAAGAAAGAGATGGTTCTTTAAAGAACCTTTGACTGAATGGTTCTTTGTGGAACCAAAAATGGTTCTTCTATAGTATCGCTTGAAGAACCTGTTGAAGCACCTTTATTTTTAAGAGTGTATGTCAGATCTCCATGAAGAACAATGAACCAACACGTCACTACTCATCACTCACTCACACACACACACACACACACACACAAGCACGTACAAAAACAGGCATGCAAGCACACACAGATTCAGACACATTCACAGACATACACACACCATACACCCATTATTATTATCCAGGTAATAAGGAAAGCACCACATATGCTCTTGCAAAAGTTTCAGTCAGAAGTGTGAAGTAATAAAGAGTCATGGGCTGAAGAAACAGCACAGAGGCTGACGGCACTCCAGGAACTGACTGAATGGATGAGATCATCTTCTTTATTCTGTGTCACATCTCAAGTCTGTGTGAGAAGGAACTCTAATGCTCCATTTCCACACAAATGCTGAATGATGACAGAACTGACTGTGTTACAACATAACCTGCCCACAAACAAACACAGCAAGGCTTTTATGTATGTATACACATATTCCCAAACTTTTTTGTCAGCCCAACCCTTTTGACCTAAAATATTCACTTGAGATTTTAAGTTAATATATAATAATTCAACAACAACAACATTAACCAGCATCAGGTAAATAAATAAACTAGTAAGTGTTTTATATTGATTGATTTTTTTTTTCAGTTTCATATTTTTATGATTTAATTCATTTATAACATTTCTTAACCTCAATTCACTAACCTCCTGCAGTTTCCTGAGAACCTCCAGGGGTTCGCAAACCCCAGTTTGACATGAATATGTTCATGTTATATTCAAATCATATTGTCATATTAAAATGATCTGAAACTATTTTGTCAAAATAAATAAAAATAAAACTTAAATCTGAAATCAATCTGTTTCAATCTAAATGTAAAAATAGTGGAAATGAGCATGCGCAATTAGCTTCTCAAAATCTGCAAATATGGTAGTGATATTATGCATCCCTTCTTGTAATCTCAACTAAAACAATTTAATTTTTTTTGGTTATATTTTGAAAAGTTTTGAAAAATACCCGATAAGTATATGCAATATCGTGATGTTCGCCTTTGTAAACACCATTAGTAGAAGTCCTCAAACTAATATAACAGCATGTGGTCTCAGAGTATTAATGAGTGCATATACCTGTTGCGTATGGACCAATCAGACACACAATTTTTTTTTGTTATACTTAACAAATACTCTGTAACACCCCAACAAACCAACTATGAGGGTCTATGGACCCTTCCCCTGAAATGCA